TTTACAAAAATCTTAAGACTGCATCAACATCTTAGGAGCCAAACCAGTTCCTGTTGAAAACCATTGTCAACACCATTGCAATATAATAATTGATAGATCGGTATGCATTATAGTAAATCATGTAACAAAGTCGATGAGAGCTTTGCTCAAAAAATTCTTTAGATATAACCTGAATAATGCTTCCAGTCAATAAGATTTTCAGTGTCAGATTTTTATTTGCTTTATTCACATTTCAGGTTGACTTCGAAGGATGGACCTATGACATGGAGCTGAATGGGATGTGTCAATGGGAATAAGGAGCCAATTCTATGCCATATTGTAACATATGTAAATAGCTTGCTATGATGTATTATGGGCAACTCTATGCCCATAACATACCATTTGTACAAGATATTTATATCACTTTTGCTTAACTTAACCCTTCTAGGACGTGCGACGTATTTTTACATTTCAACAAATTTTTTTATTGTAACCGCGTACTTTTACTATTCTAATACAATTAGTTTCTAACGATAGTCCCGAAAATAATCTCCACGCTGTCTTAGAAGGGTTAAAAATACTAGTAATCACTGAAAACCACTCCTCACACAAGTTTCACCAATTCACAGCCATTTCCTAAAATGGAGGCCAAGGGGAATCCCCTAGCAACTGGTGGTAAACCTCATTACTACAATAGTTAATAACTCAAGCTTACAAATGATGGCGTAAAACGCAAAACGAAAAATGTACATTAAAATATGAGGATTTACTTCGACATCAAGATCAGTGGTAGAATGCTCGCTTCGACATCAAATTGGATTTCCAATATATAGTTTTTACAGAATACTCTTGCACAGAAAAACAGTTTGCGAAGAACTACTTTTACAACATAACTATTTTTGTTGACTCATAAGTTCTACAAATGGGTGAAGGTAATCATCAATTTTTGGATTTTCAAGTGAAACAACAGAGGAAGTCAGTAATTCTGATATACAGTATGCACCATACTTGTACTGTGAATGATATATAATTCCTGATATACAATTCCATAATGAGACTAAAGTAGATATGGATGCACTTGATCAAAATGTGCCAATAGCTTTGATCGATTGCATATTAATTGTGCTCTCTGGTGTTAACAGTAGAGTTGGATATGAATCCTCACCATTGAGAAAAAAAATTTTTAGGTATTCTTTGATAAAACAAGAAATGTACTTTACTCATGTTTTTGTCAAAACTATTAAGAATATCTCATTATATATATAAATTGAAATGTATGTAAAGTAATACATTTTGCGTTAATTGTGAAAGACCTTCCTAAACATGTACAAATTTTCTACCAGAAATAGAAAAATACTTACAGCTTTCATGAATATGTTGCAATATGGCAAAGAATTGGTGTCTTTAGAGGTAAAATTGGCTCCTGTCCCATTGACACATCCCACCCAGCTCCATGTCATAGGTCCATCCTTCGAAGTCAACCTGAAATGTGAATAAAGCAAATAAAAATCTGACACTGAAAATCTTATTGACTGGAAGCATTATTCAGGTTATATCTAAAGATTTTTTTTGTGCAAAGCACTCATCGACTTAGATACATGATTTACTATTATGCATATGGTTGACAGCGGTTTTGATCAGGATCTGTTTAGACTCCTAAGATGTTGATGCAGTCTTCTTAAGGTTTTTGTACAAGTAGCTTACTATGATATATTATGGGCAACTCTATGCCCATAACATACCATTTGTACAAGATATTTATATCACTTATGTTTAATTTAAGCCTTCTAGAATGTGCGACGTATTTTTTACATTCAACACAGATTTGTGTTGTAACCGCGAACTTTTACTGTTCTAATACAATTAGTTGCAAACGCTACCCCCGAAAATAATTTCCACATTGTCCTAGAAGGGTTAAAAATATAAGAATTCACTTAAAACCACTCTCACGTCGGCTTCACCAATTCACAGCAATTTTCTAAAATGGTTGCCAAGGGGAATCCCCCTCCAACTCAAACTGCAAACTCAAAACTGCAAAAGATGGCGTAACAACGCAAGAAAAATGCATTAAAATAAAAGGATTTTCAAATAGGATTTCCAAAATTTATAGTCCTTACGGAATACTCTTGCACGGAACAACAGTTCGCGAGAAACTAATCTTACAACATTACGATTTTTGTTATCCCAAGATGACGCATCCATAGCAAATACGTTCTTGATACTTGATACTTCTTCAATACTTGGATTTCTAAGTGATAACAGTGGAAATCAGTAATTATGATATTCAATATGCACCACAAAAATACTGTGAATGAAAATACAAAATAAAAACTGATATCATACAATTCCATAATGAGACTTAATGTAGATGCACTCGATCAAAAATGTGCTTATAGCATTATTTAATGGTATATTAATTATCTTTGCTGGTGTTAACAGTCAAGTTAGATATGAATCCTCACCATTGTGAAAGAAGAATACTAGGTATTTGTTGATAAAACAAGTAGGACAAGTATTATGTGAACCATATATGCATTATTGAATGTGCAACCCAATAAATTCCCTGAAATCTTAGAATTTTGATTGCAAAATGCCCATTGAAAAACTTACATCTATAATTTAAAATTTTGTGTAACACATACCTATTTGACAATGATTATAAGCAGTGCTTCGCACAGGTTTACATGAGGAAATGTTTCAGCTCCTAAGATATTTATGCAGGAATTATGTACAACTAACGTAGTTTGCAACAATTATGGTATTTTAAGGGAAGCTCTTTTCCCTTAATATACTATTTGTGCAGGATACTCTATCACTCTTGCCTTAACCCTTCCAGGACGCTTGCTGTACTTTTACATTTCAACATAAGTATTGGCCCTTTTGCTATGCTATTCTAATACAATTAATTCTAAACAAAGGGGCAAATACTAAATGCTTACTGTGAAGGGTCCTGGAAGGGTTAAAAATACAATTTAGTTAAATGCACTCTTAAACGATGTTCACTGGCCGAAATGGAAAGAAAGGGGATTCCCCTTCCAACTGGTAGCAAACCTCATCCAAACAATATAATAAATAATTCAATCTTTCAAAAGATGGCGCAACAAAGTTAGGATTTTTTATGATGATTTAGTTTCTTACAACATCTAAAACATCAACAAAACTTAACTTCTCTTGAATAATAAAAGGAAAAGAGTAGATGTGTCAGGTGAAATATTGTCAAAGAACACTAGCTAAATCGAAGGAGAGAAGAAGAACTAAGAACTCAGACAAACTTTTTTGCAGAAAAGAGCTTACTTTCAGAACAAGATCCAAGAATTATGTTAATACTGATAAAATTAATTAACAACAGCAAAGTTCCCATTTGTAAATTAACTATCGGCGAAGTAAATTTGGTTGCATATTAACTCGGTTCGATTTGTCATCTCTTGTATTTCACATGATAGTCTCCAAGTAAAGTAGAACTCCTTAATTACGAAGATACGTAGCTAAATGGTAGTGGCTCTTCCTAGAGGGAAGATGCAGGAGGAAGAAAAAAAATAGGAAGATCTAATTGGATGTCCAAAATCCATAGTCTTTATATAGTTCAGGAGGATTCACCAATAAAAAATATCTGAATTCATTTAACTTTAATTTATTAAATAATTTGCTACATTTTGGCACATATTACTTAAATTTCAGTAAATGTACCTGAATTTTCTTAATTTGAAGTATTTAAGAAAATTCCAAAGTTTTTTTTAAAATTATGCTTCAAACTTCATTTTATATGATACCTTAGAATAGTGATTCTTAAAGTTTGAGAATCACTGCACTACAGCACGAAGATGCGTGTAATTATGTTAAGGGGCTGTCGAGAAATTCAAGAAAAACTGAAGAAAATCACAAAAATCATTGTTTCATAAAAAGTTGCGTAAGGGTGGCCCCCGCAACAAAAGTTACGTAATTTACGAAATAGCGATTTTTAAGAAAATCCTATTCACTTCTTTTTCCAATTTCTACTATTGATTGAATGGTGCCCATAAAGGCTATACCCAAATCTACCATTGAATTAAAGTATAATAATAGCATAAAGACACAAATGTTGACAATAAATTAAATAAAAATATATATATTATATTAAGTAAGACACTAACATAATAAAAATGAGATACGAATACATTCTAAGTATTTTCTTTAAAGATTGTAGATAGGCAACCGAATATACTTCAGAGGTATTTCGTACAATTACTTGTTTATGTTATTGGTAAATTGTTATGATTTACTAAAAAATGAGACTTGGTATTATAAATATTGATATATTTAGCTTACAAGATTTTCAAATATTATTGAATTTCAATTGATGTGAAGTTGGTACAAATGTACTACTAAAACTAGAAGTTAAACCACGCATGTATCATCATGTATAATACCTAACCAATGATGCTACGTTGCAGTTGGTAGGATTGTTTCAGTACCGCTTTGTGGCTTGCCGGCGCCTGATGTCGCCATTTTACCGAAAACGTTAACAAATTTTATTTTATTCAAACCTGTGGACAATATGCAGTTGTCCTGTGTATAATGTGGTAATGTCGATTCTTCATTAATGCTTGTGTTATATTTTTCTATAAATTCGTGATATCCGGGGCGCGAGTTTTATTGTTGTTATTGTGACCAGTGAAGATGATTGCCTTCGGCCCAAAGAAGGACGGCAGTCCAAACGTAAAATATTTTGAATCCCCCGAGACGCTGAGTGCCTTGGAGGTGGTAAAACTATGGCTTCAAAAGACCGCGAAAAAGGTTTGCAATACTATGATGTTCATCATTGGATATCTTATGCTAAATATGATTGTTTGTTTTACAGTTTATTCAGTCAGATCCTCCAACAAACAAATCATTATCTTCGTTAATAATTCAAATGCTACAATTCCAAGAAGACAACTTGGGAAAGAACATACAGAAACCAACAATGTCTAGGATACCAGTGAAATATTTCATGGATTTTAAACCTGGCGGTGCACTCTGTTATATGTTGAGTACAGCTTACAGGTTTAAAATGGAACAGGGCTGGAGAAGATTTGAATTTCAAGCTGCCAAAGTAAGTAGTTGCTATTGTATCAATCAGTATTCATGATAACAAAAGGATCCTTGTTTGCAGACCCCAGCTAGGATATCATCCTTGATAGAAATGTTTCAAATGATGGAGAAAACATTGGTCCAGAATAAATTGTATATTTTGCCTGTGATCTATGTTAAGCCAGAAATTGACAAAAATCTTGCAATGAAATTGAAGGATATTATTAAGAAGAGGAATGGCCAAGTTGTTGAATCTGAGATGAGTGCTACCCACATTCTTTATCCACACTGTGACCCACTAGAAGAGGAATATGCCAGACCTGGTATGAGACAAGATAAAATGATCATGATGCACTGGTATTATTTCCCAGATTCATATGATACCTGGGTAAATGTTGAGGGTGCTCTAGAAGGTAATAAATATATAATTTTAAATATTATTCTAAGGCCTTGGCACTGCTTTTGCAAATGGATTAACAAATAACTAACTACTCCAGGCCAAATAATAAAAATTGTATATTTTAATATACAAAATAAATCCTACTAACATCCTCCATTGTTTATGTGTATAACTTGATGTATGAATTTGTTACTCACACACCTGATTAACTTTTGTCTTTGACAAATGCGTAAGTGTTATCTAAACGTAATTCCTTCTAAAACCTTTCATTGGCTTTATTGTACAACAACATTTTTTTGGCACAAATTCACCATTAATAAGGTTTAAGTGATAGAATTCATAAGACAACTAAGTTTGGTAAAGATCCACGGATATGCAATGCATTCTATATTTACGATACTTGTGTTCTTTAGGAATGTCAACAGAAACTCCACCTCTGCACACGGGTACCTGGCGTGTTTCTTCCACGTGGCTTGTGGATTCTGATCAATACAACGAATGGATGAGCGAAGAAGACTACGAGGTCGACGAAACTGGTAGAAAGAAAACACATAAGCTCCGGCTCTCTGTTGAAGACCTGATGAACCCAATGGGTGATCCGGATAAGAACAAGTAAGTTCGTTGATGAATTTGGGTGTGGTAATGTTTGTATGTAAATAGTGTCACGCTTGATGCACTTTTCGAATTTCCGAAATTAAGACGTACTCATTGAAATTTGTTTATATAACTATTCTGAGTAAAGTCAGAATTATGAAAATGATAATTGAACAGCGAGCGAGAATATGATGTGTAAATAAACTGAAAGTATATCGGCATTGAAGAAAAACTAAGTAAAAGCAAACTCTACCATGAAATTAAAAAAAAGAGTTTTCGTTTCTGTGCGAAAACTTCTTTTTTTTCTCTTTAGACTCGATGTGCCTGTATTATGTACAATCGACAATTTTTTACTAAATTTGGGGTTTATTTTCAGGGGTGACAAAGAAATGGCTGAATGCTCAAATCTTTGCAACAGATGGAACAACCAGGACTTTGCTGAGCAACATGAGCACTTTTGTTCATCTATGTTAGAACAAATATTATATACAACCCCCTGCTACTTAGTACCTCTCGTCATCTAGTTTTGGCATGTGCGCAAATTTTATTTATTTATTATTTACATATATATACACATTATTTTTTCGCTTATTGCAAGATTGCTGTCTTGTAGATTATGGAATCAAGGGATGGTTGAAACACGTGACTCCGTTATTGGCAAAAGGAGTTGCGTTTTATTTATTATTATTTTTTTGTAATAATCACGTTGAAACTTGCATCTTTTGTAACACTTGAATGTTGCACACTTTATTTTTCTTGCATCACACCTTGTTTATAGATGTACAGGGTGTATCTGATATGCCAAGTAATACCTAATATGATTACATAATACAATTCAATATGTTTCCAGTAAATTGTTTTATACTTTTCAATTGTTACAAATAACCAGTATTTATCAACGCAAAAGTATATTACCGTCTTCAAGACCATACAAAAGCGGGAAATTCTTTTATTGAATATTTCCCGCCAAATACGACTTGAATTCAACCTTCTCTATTATTTATTAATCGTAAACAGAAACAATCCCACTTTAAAATAAGCGGTAAAATATGTCTATTAAATATTATTTGATGAGGGAGAATGTTATGAAAGTTTTATATTGCAAAGACAATTCAAAACTTCTAAATTGCAGGATAAATATTTCAGATATACCCTGTATAGTACTGAGAACATAATCAACGATAGATAGAAAATATGTTGAGTTTCTTGCATAATTAATATCATTGTCTAAGTAAAAATAATTTCCTTTGTGTACAATGGAATGGAAAATTATAGGCTTTTGTACTACAATTTTGGTGTATTGTATTAAGGGGATTAAATATGTATAGCATGAGTATTTCGATCTTCGCTCTAAATAGTAACATAATGTTATTGATTTGCGAATGGTTAAGGAATACTGAGCATGAGGTACAGAGAAGTGAACGTTTCAAGTTTCAGTAGAAGAAATTGCGCTTATTTATTTATATACAATTTGGCAAAATTGATATATTTTTTGTATGCATATTCTTCATTCTAATTCAAATCAGCCTCTTTTTGTACACTTGTTGTTTATGTTTTTATGTATTGTACTTATTGTGTTTGTTTCTTAAGTTTGTTTTTCTTTCAACATTTTTGTTTAAACCAAACACGTAAGTTAACTTTCAAGTATATATGTTATATTTTGTGTTGTCCATTTTTTTTTATTAATTTAATTTTTTTAATAAGCAGTCACTACGTATTTTTAAAACATCTTTTATTTTTTTCTCTTTCTCTATTCTCCCAATTTTCCCAAAATTCTAAATCGATAGAAAGAAAGCTGGAAAACGGAAGAGATCGCCATCACCACAGATGAAGGGCGGAAAGAGGAAAAGCGGCAGAAGTCCAGCGGTTGGGAAGAAAACTAGGCCAGAGGATGCTGAATCGGAAGATCTAACGAAGGAGATGGAGGATCCACCACCAGAACCGAACGTGCTAGAGGTGAATCCTTCGACGTCGGCGCAATTAGGTAAAAAGGATCACGAGTTGCAACCTTTGAAGGGAGGTTCCATCACGGACATGGATGATACTGAGGAACGTTGTGAGGATTCCCAAACCGGAAAGAATTCCGATACAACGACGCAAGACGAAGGGCAGGAAGATAATGTGACTGAGCAGACGCATCATATAATTGTACCGTCATATTCTTCATGGTTTGATTATAATTCGATTCATGAGGTCGAGAAAAGAGCGCTTCCCGAGTTTTTCAACGGCAAAAATAAATCGAAGACACCGGAGATTTACTTGGCTTACCGGAATTTTATGGTAGACACATACAGGCTTAACCCAACTGAGTATATTACCAGCACGGCTTGTAGGAGAAACCTGGCTGGTGATGTATGCGCTATAATGCGAGTTCATGCATTTCTAGAGCAATGGGGTCTGATAAATTATCAGGTTGATACGGAATCGAGACCGACGCCAATAGGGCCACCACCGACGTCTCATTTCCATATCCTCTCAGATACCCCATCGGGTTTACAGCCGGTTAATCCGCCAAAGACTCCTCAGCCGAGTGCCGCTAAAACACTTCTTGACTTGGACAGAGCGCAGGAAATCAAGAAAACTGAAAATATAGAATCAATATCAAGCTTTGGTCTGAAACTAGACCAATACTCGAAGAAACCAGGTGCGCTGAAGAACAAAAGCGCTGCTTCCTTAGCCAGGGATTGGACAGAACAGGAAACATTACTTCTCTTAGAAGGTACGTTATAAATACATCCATAAGATCACCTATAAACCAATTCGATGAATGACCTGAGATAACAAATGTTAATGATAACTTCTTTTAGGTTTGGAAATGTACAAAGATGATTGGAACAAAGTCTGCGAGCACGTCGGTTCCCGTACACAGGACGAGTGCATTCTGCATTTTCTCCGCCTACCAATCGAGGATCCCTATTTAGAAGATCCTGAAGCCGGAGGAGCATTGGGACCGCTTGCATACCAACCTATTCCGTTCAGCAAAGCTGGTAACCCAATCATGTCCACAGTCGCTTTCCTTGCATCAATTGTGGATCCACGCGTTGCCGCTGCGGCCGCTAAATCAGCAATGAATGAATTCGCAAGTATCAAAGATGAAGTTCCCGCTGTCCTAATGGATGCTCATCTGAAAAATGTAGAAGCATCCTCCACTGATGGTAAATACGATCCAGCCGCCGGGTTAGCGTTGAGTGGTATTGCGGGAACTGTGCCTGAGAAAGAAGAAGATGAAAATAAGATCAAGAAAGAAGAGGTATTTAATATAAAAGCATACTATTTATGCAAGGTTTATTCATAATTGTTTTTATTTGGTTATCAGGGTAAAGAGGACGAGAAAGTTGAAGATCAGAAAAAGAACGGAATCGAGAGCGCCGATGAGAAACCCGAAGACAAGGTCATGAAGGTGGAATCTCAGGATGAAAAGGACGATAAATTAGATACGGCCGACGTGAAGCCGGAAAAGGTAGTCAGAGACAGTGAAATGCAAAGCGCCGCCGCCGCAGCATTAGCTGCAGCCGCCGTCAAGGCAAAGCACCTAGCAGCTGTCGAAGAACGGAAGATCAAGTCTCTGGTTGCCTTGCTGGTTGAAACGCAGATGAAAAAATTAGAGATTAAGCTAAGACACTTCGAGGAACTGGAGACGACTATGGAACGGGAACGCGAGGGACTTGAATACCAGAGGCAACAGCTTATCACTGAAAGACAACAATTCCATTTGGAGCAACTGAAGGCTGCCGAATTCAGGGCGAGACAACAGGCCCATCAGAGGATGCAGGCAGAGCAAGGGCAACAATGGCCTCAGCAGCAGCCTGCTGCGTCGCACACTTCATCCTCTGAAACTGGACCAAATTCCACCCCGACGCCGCCGTCTCCTCAAGCTGCCGCCGTAGCGTCTCCGGCTCCGCCGCATCACCACATTTAATTAACGGAATTTATTTTACTTTCCAACTGTTTTAATTAATTTCTATCTGTGTTTCCCACGTCGGTCATACAATTTTATTATTTTTTTTATTCATATATACTATATTTGATTGTTTTGCATAGACATTGATTGTTTATATTGATTATTTTACAATTATTATGAGAAATTTTACAAAACAAATTAATATTATGAACAGAACTAATTTTATTTCATTTTTCTTATTAGTATAAGTGACATCTATAGTTTATTTTTATTCCTTGTAATTTTAGGCGTGGTAAATGCGTAGTGTACATAATATATACAACTAAGTTGATAAGTAAACTTTTATTTGTTTTGTGTGTTGCAATTTCAATGTTTTTACTGAATGCAAATAATATAGAGATCGTATTTAATTAGTTATCAATAGTTAAGCAATTTTCTTTTTCTCATTTGCACATGGCATCTGTATATTTTTGCCAGTGTATCTAATCGGTATTTTCGCTTACGTTAGTGAACTAATTTGTTAATTGCATAACAAATACATAATTATGATTTTTTGTAAAGAGAAATTAAGAAACGTGTCTATAATAAAATAATTATTTTTATTTTAACAAATATTGCACTTGATTGAAATACAACTATAGTTTTTATATCATATATTTGTAGTATTAGTAGTATTGAAGTATACATAAATGTAAGAATGACCCATGTCCTCTTAATAGTAAAAAATAATTAAAAGTATAAGGAAACTAATGTCGATTAAAATTTGTCTAAACTTATTTTGGTAAAGTTTATATTTGGGACTATATTCCGAGCATTAACCTACATGGATGTTTATCAATAGATATCTATAAATTTCATACAACATAATAATGATATGTAATATGTGTATACAATACATGAGTAAAGATATTTTATTCTTGGAATAAGATAATTCGATAAGTTTAATTAATCTTTCAGTATATATGAATAAAAAATATTTGTAATTATGAATGTCATTTCTTTAAAATTAGAAATATACAATTTATTACTTGAGTTGTTTGAGGAAATTATTAATTTTTAGATTATTATTAGATTAATCTAGTTTTAATTCGACATTCTATATAATAAGCATTCAATAAATGTATAGTTAATATGAATATGTAATATTTATGTTGCAAGTCCAGAGCTGTCCTTAGACCCAGGGCCTGGGCCCTGTAGCCTTATGCGAACCGGCAGGCACGAACGTGAGCCTGCACCAAACATTTAGGCTGCGCTCCGTTTTTATGTTTTTTTTTTGCGCCCCAAAATTATTTTTGCTCTAGCCCCGCACTTGCACTGTGCAAGTCAATCATGTTTGGGTTATTATTCCTCGTAATTTTCATTCGTACGAACATATGATATAGATTTTCAATAAATTATCAAAAGTAGTTAAATGTATAGTGTATGGATAAATTCGTATATGTACTTATAGTAACGTACACACAGTAACTATGGTAACATAGCAATACAAAACATAAATTTGTTTATACCGTTATAATCTCAGTGGAAATATTTGAAACATAGCATTTTTTTCTTAACATGCATAATAAACGTGTTCGCACGAACGTACAATGTTTAGAAAGCGTTATGTCGTCACGTACGTTAAGAGATCGTAAACTGTAATTGAAATCTTTGTCGCAAGGTGGAACATCGAAGGCTTCGTCTTTAGATGTTAGCTGATGCACATTGATGCATGTTAAGTGACGTAGTCCAAAAACAAACAATGCTAAAACTTCGTTAGAAAAAGCAATATAATTTACCTGCAAATGAATCATATCCGCAGACAATTTATTTTTACAATATATCTTGAATAATCCGGTGAAAGTGGGGGTTTTGGTTAAGAAGACCAAAGCAAAACAGTGAATAGAAGTGGGTGTGTCGAATTAGTGCCAATCAACTGAGTAACGTTGTGTTCATTGAAATTAAAACATGGTTTTGTTAAATTCCTGCTGGTCTCCATGTATTTGGACAGACAACCTTAAATCTGGTATAAAAGCCATAAGTCTTTACACAGTGGCTGTAAGCATTGTGTTGATGACTTTCATCATATTTGATATGACTGGTGGAGATTCAACCCAGCTATACAATCCACTGTTTGAAGCTGATGTCAGATTCTGTAAGTCCCTGTTTTTGTTTCTTGTATGTAAACATTAATTAATTTAATATTCTGTATGTAGCTATGCAAGTGATTGGGGGTCTGCTTCTGGTGTTTTTCATTTTCCTCATAGCATCAGCATGTCTGTTAGTTATGGGTGTGAAAATCATGAATCGTGGTTTGATGATCCCTTGGATCACAGGTTTTGGGCTTCTTATTGCATTCCAGTTGATATTTGGATTATGGCTGCTTGGTGGCTATTACATATATGTAAGTTGTTACCTATCAACGAGAAAATATCATACTAATTATTTACTTTTAGCTTGATAGTGTACTATATACACTGGTCAATTGGACCTGGATGGCATATAATGTAAGTTGGTTGCCTTTAAATGAAATAAAACAAACTAATATGACCTCATTTATTTTAGATCTACTGCTGGCTTGTTGTTTATTCTCAGTACAAAGTTGTAGCGCAACTCCAAGCACCAAATATTGAACTACTCTATCCGTAGTGGCAAGCTTCTACTAAATGCATATTATGTTTGTAAAGTTTATAATGCTTTATTAATTCAAGTTATGATAATTTTGATTTAAGTTTAGTGCAGCTTCACTACATATGGAAATGTGGTATATGTCTGATATTATTTACAATTATCCGTCCATTTTTATACATAATTTTATATATATATACAAATGTATTTTCTGTTTAAATATATTTTTATTTAAAAGTAAATCCTTTTTTTTCTAATTCCCATTTTACAAAATTTATTCAAGTCATTAAATGACTATTAGCATTTCAATTAATAAATGATTAGACTTTTGCATATCTGAAATCTTCATTTGGTACAAAATACATCTTAATTACTCTTAATATCTAGTTAGTTTCTGCTATTATGACTAGGTTCATGGTACCACATATTACTCATTAGTATTTTGATACAAATTATGATTAAGACGACCTCGTTTCATCTTCTGTATTTTGGAATCAAACCTTTTAACGAAAACCAAACAAGAATAATAGATGTCATTGGTTGAAATAAATGGTACTAACCGATACTAACATTATTAGTACCATCTAAAGTTATATAACACCATATGCATATTAACCATTAATTAGGTGTATATACAGTTGCCTATCACATTACCTAGAATATGGATTTTCTTGCCAGTTTTAGGTGTTATATAAACTTACTATATTTGTATGTGTATATTTAGTTGCCTATCGAATTCAAATTAGAATTATGTGTATATTTGGTCATGTATTTTATATAAATATTGCTCAAATTTGAATAAAGGGTGGAGTTATTTTTAGTTTTACTTGTCTCAGAAATTTTAAAAGTTAAGAAACGTTTGCAGTGGATTGTACTTAGATAGGTGATAGCGATTTGAATGTTAATCTAGAACAGTCATAACAATTTAATAATTATTTGAGAGCCACAACTTTCGATATGAAAATAAAATTTATCAAGTGTTAATATCACACGTAAGTGCCAAAGAGCAGCAGGTGGCTCTCGAGTCGTACTTTGCCGACCCCTAATCTAGAAGAATGGAGACGATTTGCTCGTTAAATTGATGAGTAAATTTCCATTTTTTTTCCCAGAATAGGTCTCATATTAAATCAAAATATAAATGTTTATGAACAAAGAATTTATATAACTGAATGTCATATTGAAATGTAAATGGTTTATGGTTATGATTATGGTGATAGTCTATTTAGGAGAGAAAGCATTATTTGATTTCTCATGTCTAAATACAGTGGGAAAGCGCGAAGATGCTAAAATAACTATCAAGTATATAAAACTTCAAAAGAATATTTGTTTATGTTCACAGATTGCGTAACAGCGCACCGAAGAGGAATCCTCATTTATTATTTATTTGAACTGTCCCAATTTTTGCCTTTACGTAAGCATTGAATTTACGGAACTTTGCACCGGGTCCCCGCATAACGTCATATCAATACTGATGATTTTCTAAAATAAAATGAAATACTGTAAAAACCTTTGATTAATTTCTTATAACTTAAGCGAAATATTAGAATAAAATGTTACTTATTTTCTAGAGAAACGAAACACCAAAACACTTTAATTCAGTATACACGACCTACCAATTATTGAAGTACATGTGTGTGTATAGAGTTTTCAAACTTAATTAAGTTAAACTGTTAACAAACTTCAATTATATTGTTTTTCTAGTTTTAATTAACTAACTAATTGCTTAAACTGGAGTTAATTACTAACAAATATTATAGTTTGGAAGAAAAAATAATAATCGAACGTTTCTTAAAATTAAACATATTTAATAATTCTTCGACGAACTGAAATAGGCAAAAATAAACTAACATGATTTATTAATTTCTCAAGTAATTGCATTGAATTACTCTTCCTTAAACGTGAAGACATTATTACATAATGAACTTTGACAGTTCATTACAAGAGAACGGCAATCACCATAAGCTCATAGTTTTGTCTTTATTTTGTATATTCGAATTGTGTTGATGAAAATGAGAAAACACGTTAAAAATAATTAGAAAAATGCCCATTGGTTTTTTTTAAATTGAAAAAAAAATCGGTTAATTATTAGTATTACTCATATAAATTTATATTATAGGAAGAAGTATTAAAGGTCCATTGACATAATAAGTGAGTTCCAGTTAGAAGTGATGAAATTACATTTTCAATGTTTACAAAATATTAATTATCGAATTAAAAGCAAAACTAATTGATACATGAATTATATGAAAACGTAATGAAAACTTAATTCTTCGAAGTAATACTAAAATGTAATTGTTAATAACTAAAAGTTGTTTCAATTTTGAATGGAAAACTATGTGAAAAGCAATGGAGGTTATGGGTTTGTTTGTATGATTTTGTTTTAGTAACTGTACAGGGAGTTAGTGAGTTGCAAATGAGTTAGATTGGCCGAAATTAGGATCCAGTTAGCGTGGAATGGAGCGCTGTTGATACTGGTAATATTGACGCGTCTGCAAAGATTTAATACATAAGTCCATAAATAGATTCGCAAACTTTGGCCTATATTTATCAATCAAAAAAAAATATAAGAGGAAAGAAAGCAAAAAGATCTTGCTTGGAGTATTTTTGTCGAGTATTATTATTACTGCTTCTAAGGAGTTTCCGTACGCAGTTTTTGTCGCCTCCGGCGCATAGGAATACAAAATGCTGTGTATTTTGTATTTTATTTCGTGCATATAAATAGCTTGTGGTAAATAAAAGATGCGTGGTTAAGAGCACGTATCGAAAACATTGTACGACGCTCTTGGAAATGGAAGAAAGAGCATTTCATGTTTGGCAGATATTAATTAATGTGCGCGCCCCGATCGGTCAGTCAATGACTGACCTTTGTGTCTCATAATTAACATAGGATGTTTTGTTCGCTCGGATCGAGTCCCGTGGGTCCGACGATCCGGAATCCCGGACCCACAGCATCCAAGGACCCAACTCCTCCTCTCCTCTTCATCATCCTCCTTCGCCACCACCTCTTCCTCATTCTCCTCCTCCACCTCTTCCTCATCCTCCTCCTACTTCATCGTTTGAGCAGCTCACAAACAAATGTTTGTGATTTAAAAAAAAATCGGTCGCAATCGGTACTGCTCGGATACTCACACGCACGCACACACACCATCATGTCTTGTTCGAAACTGTTAAGCACTTAAGTAGTACTAAATAGTACTGTGGAATGCATCGTGCTGTGAAGGTCGTGAAAAGCGTTCGGGAAACGAATTTTCGGCGCGCCGCGGACACTTTCTAAACCAAGATTTTGAACTTTTCAAAAACAAAAAGTAAACATTAACAACACTCAAAAAAAAATAAGGAACAAATTTAGTAGTATTACTTAGATCGAATGCTATCCAATTATTTTAACCCTTTCGCCCAGTGAGTGCTTTTATTATTACTATTATTGTTTATATGTATCAATTGTTTACCAAACTTCTTTGGATGTGCTTGTACCATCCCTGGACTTCATCCCCACGGATTACGCAATTACAGAAACTATCAATTGCATAACAATTCCAAAGTGTGACTAACAAATTTCCATATTACAACAACCCTAATCTTTTAACATTCGCTGCGCAATCGCCAGCCCCTTCAAGGAATGCTCTCTCTTTAATGATAACATAATCTTCAGGAATGCTGTTTTTTGTTTTTCCTCCAGCAAAACTTTCAAAACAAACGCGTTTACGCGCGCTTCCATTGATGCCAATTTATTATGCTCAATGAAACTCGAGAAGAACAATGAATCTTCAAAGATCGTCACCGAACAAAGATCTTCAATATACAGTTAATTTAAAAAAAAATGTAGTTTCCAGTAAATACTTCGGTCTAATCGCATTTCCGTTCATGTTAATTGCTTTGTTCTATGGAAATGAAAAGTTTCCTTATCGAAGATAATACACAACGACTGGCTTAATTTGTTTTGTTGTTTTTCGCTGTTCTAAGGAAAAATACGTGTTGTTGTTTACTATTCAGGAAAAATTACTAAAACAGAGATATTTTTTACAGTAAGTTCAACATCTACTTCTTTTTTTTCAAAATTTGTAATATTAAAATAATCATTAACACATTACAATTGTTCATTCATATTTCTTTATTTATATTAAAAAAAGAACTTTTGTTTGTAGATTTGTAACATAATATTGAACAAACGTAGTTCGTTGCAATGTGATTTTTTTTTTAATTATTACAATGTAATTGCCCACAGTTTGATGAGAAATTAGTTAAAAAAAAAGTTATATTTTCGTTGATAGTTTTATAACGTGTAGAAGAACCTTCACTCAGTTGGTATAAACGAGGTCCTGGATATTTAAGTATTCAAAAACGACTTTATATACCGAGGTCCTGCATTTTTCTATAACATTAAACCAGTAGGAATATCTTCCTGACCTTCAATCGTAATCCTAATCCAATCAGAAATAATTAACTAACATTTAAAAAAAAACTACACATATTTTAAGTATAATAACTTAAGTTTTCTTCTTTTAAAAAATTTTTCGAATTTTTTGTATTTTATTAAACAATATACAATAAAATTTAATTTATTTTTTTTACAATATAAGAAATATTAAATATTGCAACTATTACATAAATATTTATAGACAAAAAAATGTAAAATTAAATAAAAAAATACATTAATCATTGCAACATGCTTTTCCTGGAGAAGAAATTAATTTATAAAGTGAAAACCCATTTTTCAAACGAAATAAATGAGAATGACTTAGAATTCGTAAACCATTAAAAAAATTATAATTTAAAAATATTTCATAATTTTTCACAAAAATTGTTTTTTTAATATCAATATACACGTATCATGTCCATATTAGAACGTTAAATTATTTTTGATATAAAAAAAATAATAACATTATAAAAATTAAGATTTAGATGGATTTAGTAGACTTTTTGTAGCAAGAGCCATAGTTACATATACCTAAAGTTTTTGGTGTTTAAGCTGTATTTAAGTAGAAAATTATTTATTAGTTGAGCCACAACAAAACTCTTGAAAATTATGTTTATTATTATTTAGTTTTTAAAGAAAATAGATTTTATTGCACTTAGTTTATGAAATAAATATTATTTATTATTCTTACAAATTTTTTATTACTATTTTTTTTTGGATTTTTATTTGGTATAAAAAGGTGGTCTGGC